ACAATACATGTTAGTTTTATTTTTATTTTATGTTATGAAAAATAAAATCAATAATTTTACACATAATAATAATTTTACGCATAATACAACTAAATTTATTTTGGGTGGAGTAAGGGGAAATTAATTAATTTTTATGTATATTATAAAATCATAACAGTTATTAAGTCATTTGTGCATTAAACTCATAATTTTTTTAATTTTTTTTATAATTTTACACAACTTTTAAATTCGTATTTTTATTTTTATTTTAAATTTACAAATAATACGATATTTGGTTTGGAGTTTTCAAAAACAGTTTTTTGAATTTTCAATTAATCTTGATATACTTAAAAGGTATAAAATTTGTACAAAAACCTTTAAAAGATTTATTGAAGACAACAAAATGCGAAAATGTATTGAATTTTCTTTTCTTTTTTTTTTTTGTGTGTGTGTATTTGGTGAATTTTTTAAAAGTTTTTTTTATATATAAATATTATACTTTTTAAGTGTATCTAGATTAAGTATATCTAGAAAATTTTTAAAAACTAAGTAAAATATTAAAAAAATTACTAAAAAATAAAAACTTAATTTTTTAAAAAGTGAGTTAAATCAAAAGTTTTATATAAGAGAAACAAAATGATTAAAAAAAAAGAATATAATATATATCGACAAAAAATATTTATTCCGTGCATAGCACGGGTGAACGCTAGTATATATATATATATATATAAAAGTGGTAAAGAATTGAGTAGGACTTAGTTTTCTTCTAGTTTAATTTGAGTTATCTCAATATTTTGAATCGTTTAATTTTCAATAATTTTTGAATAGATTATTTATATAAAAAATTAAATTAATTAAAAATTAGTAATTATATGTCACATTAATCTTTAAAAAAATAATAAATAGCAAGTAGAGCTAACTATGATTCAATTTATTTAAACTAAAGAGACCAAACCAAACTGAATTTATAAAAATTTTGAAATCAAACCAAACCAAACCAAACCAATAAAACATAATTCAACTCGGTTTAAAACCACAATTTTTAAAATCTTTTGTCATCATTCACAATATTATCACAAAATATTATTCATAATTAAAAATAATTTAAATGTTTGTTTAAAACAATATAAGAACATGCTTGCAAGAGTAGAATATTACACTTTATTTATATATATATTTGATAACAATAATAAAAAAATGAATGTTTTCAATAAATGAGAAATTATATTATATATGGTCGAGTTTAGTGTCAAATTATCCGTAGCCATTTTTGCGTTTTTGGCTTGTGAAAAAAAAATTGCCTTGCCGAAAACGCCAGCTATTGCATTTGGCAAGTGACAAAAAAGTTGCCTTGTGAAATTACCTAAATACCCTCCATGTTAACAAATTACCTAAAATTCCAAAGTTTAGCAAGGGTACATTGGTCATTCTATTTTGATTTGATGCCATAAATAAATATTAAACCAAAAATAAAAATCAACTTTTTATCAACTTCTCAAATCATCTCCAAAAAAGTCAAAAAAACTTGGTAAAAAACTAAAAGCTAATTTTTTACAACGCCAGCTGTTGCATTTGGCAAGTGACAAAAAAGTTGCCTTGTGAAATTACCTAAATACCCTTCATGTTAACAAATTACCTAAAATTCCAAAGTTTAGCAAGGGTACATTGGTCATTCTATTTTGATTTGATGCCATAAATAAATATTAAACCAAAAATTAAAAAAAAAACAAACTTTTTACCAACTTCCCAAATCACCTCCAAAAAAGTCAAAAAACTTGATAAAAAACTAAAAGCTAATTTTTTACCAACTTTCCAAAACACCCAGTGAAACTATGAACCAAATGTACAATTCATTTATTTGAAGAACCATGTCAACGTTTATATAATATATATATTAAAATTTTAAATTGTCTTTATCATTTTTTTTTTTAAATGTCTGGCTTCCCTCCAACCCTAGATCTAATTGCATGGTACTGTTAGGCCCGTGGGGCCCATCAAGAGCCCCGTTTCAATAATCTGAATCATTCAATATGTAAAATTTATTGAGTATTATATACATATAAAAAATTGCGTTGATCAAATATCGATAGTTACGTAATCAAATCAGTTTTGTATAAAAAAAAATAAATAATGAAAAAATAAACGGTTGATAAAAATTTGATCCGATAAGATAACTATCGACATCCGATCAACGTAATTTTTTACAGACATGTAATAATCGACTAATTCTACACATTAAACGATTCGAATTATCAAAATAGAACTCGTGATGAACCTCTACAAACCCAATAATACCCTCTAGTTCGATCTAAGACTAGGGGAAGCCAGTCCTTTTTGAAAATAGACATGGATGAAGAAGTTCACAAGTTCACATAACACAACCAACCAAGGAATAACACGTCACGGGATGAGAATTGAAATTACTATATAAATATATTAATATGCATATTAAAAAAAATTAACAAATAAATGTATTTCCATTTGGAGAATTACCAACCAAAACTTGCAATTGAGATTATAAAAAAATAATAATAATAATAATAAAAATTGAAGAAGAAAGAAAAACGGAATAATAAATGACTAATCCACTAGGGTATGAGGCATAGCTAGTAGGGATGGTAATGGATAACTTATCATGTGGATATTCATGGAGACCCAACCTAAATACATAGGTTTTTCTCTTTTTTTCTTATCCATTGAATAGGGTAAGTGATATTCTTTAAATATCCACAGGAGATGGGTTGGGGATGGGTACCCACTAATTTCCCCATATTTTATTTTTTTTTAAGATTCACAACCAAAACTAAATATACATTCAATTTTTTTTCTTTTATTTATTTATTTATTTATTTAGGTTCACAACCAATTTTTTTTTTTTTTTTTTTTTTAAGATTCACAACCAAAGCTAAGGGGTTGTTTGGGATGACCTAAATAAGTGCACTTTTTGTCTTTTTACGAAAAGATGTGTAGAAAAGTAGAGAGATGATGTGATGAAAAAAGATAAAAAGATGGATTATTTTGATGTTGCCAAACTTGGCCTAAATATACATCCAATCCTTTTTTTTTTATTTTTTTAAGGTTCACAACTATTTTTTTTTTAATTTTTAAAATTCACAATCAAAGCTAAATATACATTCAATCTTTTTTCTTTTATTTTTTTTTTAATTTTTTTTTTAAAGGTTCACAACCATTTTTTTTTTTAAGATTCACAACCAAAGCTAAATATACATTCAATCTTATTTTATTTTATTTGGTTCAATAATAAAATCGAATACACATTAATTAAAATTGTCACATTATTCTTGTCAAATTTTATGCATATCTAAATTTTTTTTAATTTATTTAAAAAATTAAGGACACTATCTGGTGCAGGTTTCGGTTTGCTTTTCTATGTTATTTAATTTTGTTATGTATTGTAATTTTCAGAATGGTTTGCTTGTTTTGAAATTTCAATTAACGAGTATTAATCTATTTGTTTTATATTATCACACAATTTATACAACACACACACACACATATATATATATATGAATGTATTTGAAAATAAGGAAATTTAGAGAATCGAAACAAGCATGAGTCGTGATTAGTTAGAAATGATGGGTATAAAGATTTATTTGCTGGAAAAACAAAAAAGGGATACAAAATCTTACTAAATAATTTTTTTTTAAAATAAAAGAATTTTTCTTAGTTATGAACAGATTTAACTGAAATCAACTTGTTTCCCAATGTTATCTTTCATTTATTTAGATAGAAAATATTTTTTTATAAAAAAAATTAAAAATATATTTTTTTATATTTGGTGGGGGTGGTGGTGATGGGACGAAGGTGAAAGTAGAGATTGTGACATAGTGGTGGGGTGATGGAGGCAGTGATTATGGTAGTGGCTATGGTGATGGTGGCAGTGATGATGGTAGTGTGATAGTAAAGGTGAGAATAGTGGTGATGGCGTTGTGAAATTAGTAAAAATTTAATTGAAAAAATATTTTTTGTTTTTTAAAAGTAACAAACAACAAAATTCAAGGAGGACTAAAGGAAGAAGATAGAGGATGGATTGGGTGTGATAAGACATAGATATCTTAAAATGAGTGGTTCAAATTTGTTAAAAGATATAATTAGATTTTGAATAAATTAAAATGAATGGTTCAAATTTGCTAAGAGAAAGATAGTTTAATGTCTAAAATGTCCGTGGCTAAAAGATTAACAAACAATTCTTTGTTTATGCCCTGATACAATTTAATATTGATCTTATAACACTTTCTTCGAACAAGTTCTTTCACATTTTATTTTTTCAAACAGGCTCTTATAACATTGCAATCAGGTTCTTATAACATATAGGGGAGAGAGAGAGAGTGAGAGTGAGAGGTGGTTGTAAATTTTTTTTAATCTTCCACATTCTTCCATATTTTTTTTTTCAATTACTAAAACTTATTTGATTGTCTCAATTATATATTTGATTATTATAAAAAAAACTTTTTAATTAATTAATTAATGTGTATTTGATTTTGTTGTTGAACCAAATAAAATAAAATAAGATTGAATGTATATTTAGCTTTTGTTGTGAACCTTAAAAAAATAAAAAAATAAGTTGTTAACATTAAATATATTAAAAAAGAAAGAAAAAAGATTGAAGGTCTATTTAGCTTGTGTTAAAAAGAAAAAAGAAAAAAAGTGGTTGTTAACATTAAATATAAAAAATAAAAATAAAATAAAATGGGAATTAAAGTGGGTTAGGGAAAATTCAAACCGATTAAGAAATGGGAGGGTGGTACCCATGGAAAATGGGGAATGAGAAATGGAGAAAATTTATTACAGGAAAATGGAGATGGAGAATTAATATCCACCCCATTAACCCCCATTGCCATCCCTAATAGCTAGGGGTCTATAATGGGAGATATCAGGAAAATAATGTACAATAAAAATTTTTAAAAAAAAACAATAACAATAATAAAAGAGAGGAAGCTCTGAGCAAAATGATCTGCAGCTGTTACTGATGACTCCTTGCGCTTCCACTTCAATGAGCAAAATGATCTGCAGCTGTTACTGATGACTCCTTGCGCTTCCACTTCAAAATTCTGTAATTTTTTTAAAAACTCAGAACATATATATATATATATATTATCTTTGTAATTTGGTATTTGTGTGATATATATCAGAGTATAGTCTTCTTTGTGTATCATATACTATAGTGGACTTGACTTCTTCCACATTACCAGTGACTTGAGAAACTCCATCACCTGCATAATTTACAAAACAAAGCTAAATCATTTCTCTGTATCCTAAGGAAAACAGAAACAAGAGCATTAGGAAGCACAAACACTCCAAAATGGGTGCCATGTCATACGTATCGAACACTGACACGCCGAGAACATGCTTGTCTATGTGATACGAGCACTAGGAAGCACCGACACTCCAAAATGAATGCCCTATCCATGTTTAACACATATCAAACACCAACGCGACAAGAACAAGCTTGTCTACAAGAGGTGTCAACTTTCTTAATTTTTTCTTCTTATAGGACAATTTGGAGACAGTTCACGGATTGTGTTTGGACATGTCTCGGGACACCTTTGTGAGTTTTTTCATAATTTAAAAAGCTGATTTAGGATCAAAGTAAAATACATGGAAGTGTAGAGAGGGGTAAAGAGAAGAAGAAAAAAAAAACAAACAAATAAAAAGTAAAAGTCCATCTACATATACATTGATACCTGTGTCAATTTTTTTCAAAATCGTGGTATCTTGTGTCTATATCTGTGACCATGCTTCTTAGCACAAGCAAAAAAGGCTATGTTTATCTCAAATGAGAATGACATTGCAAAAAAAGCCAGATAACAATGATGCTTGATGAAATATGAACCAATTTTAGTACTACTACATCACCATCCTGTAAAAATTAAAATATCTACCTCTCACCGAACCCCACTTTAGCAGAAGCACGAGGTCGCCCTTTTTTAAAATAAAAGAAAGAAAAAGGAAAAAGAAGAAGCCAGTTTTTTCTTCATATTTGGAAATTGATTAGTTCCTTTCAAAAGATCATCAATCTTGTGTTCTCAAGTTTGAACATGATAGCAGGCAATTTGTTTGTTCTGTAGAACAACATACTGCATTCCCATATCCCAAGCCAAACCTTCTTTCAGTCACTAGAAAGTAAATAGTACCTCTGACGGGTCCCTGAGAGAGTATAATGCATTACTTTCCTTAGGCGCTGAAGACACCAATATGCCATAACCACGATTTCCCACTCTCAAAACCTATAACAAGTCAATTATGTCGGTTTTTTACGGGTTCAAAACCACTGAAAATATACGGTATTCATGACAACTGATAAATAATATCTATGGTTAAGCGGTATTACCTTAAATGCATCTTCATCAGTCCGGTCATCTCCAATGTAAATCGGGAGCACATCATCACAATTACTTAACCCTGCATCAATTGAAGTTGCTCGATTGGTACAAGAAAAAAATATTATTTACAACAACTAACAAAGAGGACTGTTTAAACTCCTATTGAAGAAGCCTAGAAATTTATTACACACCAAGCGATTCAAGTAAGAACTCGACAGCTTTACCCTTATCCCAATCAAGCACAGGCCGGACCTCTAAAACCTAAGACATTGGGAAAACAGTGCAAAAATTAGAGGGAGTGGAGAAACAAAATGGGCCAAGAATTCAGAAAAACTTGAAAATTGCAATCCATCTGTAAGTCGAGCTGGTTTTGAGCGAACCTTCCGGCCATGTGTCAATCGTAGACGAGGGTAGTCCTTTAGAATATCATGGACGGATTCTGCAATTGTTGTCCAATACTGAAATAATTCCACCAAAAAAGAAAAAAAACCAAACAAACAAAACAAAGCAAATAAAATAAGATCTACAGTTACTGAACAAAACTGCAACAGAAATAGTCTCCGGAGCTTGAATAACTGCTACCTGCTCATCCACATTACGGTAGTGTACGGAGACACAAAACTTATTGTTCTCCACTTTTGCCCCATTAATATCTTTAGTAATCTCGACAAGGGATCTAAAAACCTGCTCTCAAGTATAGAAAGAAAAATCAAAAATCGTGTGCTAGCATAAAATATCGTATATTAGGGCAATAAAACATTTACCCACCTCATCGATCATAGGTAAGAATTCACTAGCAGGCTGGAACAAGTTTACTTCCTTACCCTATGTTCACAAGAAAGAAAATCGAAAAACCATTCCAAGAAAGACAGATGGAATTGGAATTGGAATTGGAATTTGAAGTGAACATTGGTGTGCAAAAAGGATAGGTGCATAGGCCCATTACCTGATTGTCAGTGGACCTAATACAGTTTGGAGGGTCATTAGACATGGGCCGAACAGGGCCAATAATGTCCATCCCATGACTACCAGCATAATAGAGTTCTGTTAGTCCTACAAACTCGTACACCTGAATGAAGGGAGGTGTGGAACAAGAGTTAGTCCAAGCCAAGGATCAACAAGTACAGCTGAAGTATAATCAAACAAAGACCAGAGAAGCGGTCATAAAACAAAAGACTGTCAAATACCTTGTCACGGCTTCTCCCACTAATTATTGCTGTTGGGAAATATTTTGCCAAATTCCTCACAGTAGCACGCATCTGAGACCAGATACAAAGCATCAATAAAAATCTGAGGGAGGGGAAGGACAAAAGAAAAAAGAAAAAACGAAGAGCTTTTATCAAATTATTGTGTTTTTTACAAGTTAGAAAAGTAGATTCTCACAGGATTAGACATGAAGGCACAGTCTGGGTTGTCTACAATAGTGGAAAGAGTCCCATCATAGTCCAGAAACAAAGCTATTCTCTTGCCCTTTGCATAATTAGTTATTTGCTCAAAAGATGCAAGTGCCGAGGGATACTTAAGCTGCAGAACCAGAAGAGAAGGTCAAATAAATAGTCCAATATCTCATCCAAGCAAAAACATGAATGTTAACCAAAAGAAGAGGAAACGTTACCATCCAATTGCGATAAGCAACATCAGCATCCGTTGATACCAGATCAGTGCCAGAATCTTTTGTGATCTTCCTATGAGTAGGAGATGAGGATTTCATGGCATCCAGCCAAGAGCTGGAACGAAAATCGTCAAGTGTATTGGTTTTTTTTCTTGGGATTGTTAAGTAGAGTCCGTGAGAGAAAACTACACCCGGGGGTGAGTATAAACTAGAATGGATACCTAATCTTGTATTGTTCATGGGTGCAGGATCAGCGAGAACAGGAGCACTATGATTTGATTTCACGTCCATCAAATCCAGGTTCATTTAAGGAAGATATCACCTTAAATACTATGTGATAATTGACACTTGGTCTCCAATCAACTGCAAAGCAGTTTATTTCAGAACCCCAATTTCAGAAAAAGCCTTTTATCCAACCCTCTTATCAATGAAAAACCACCTCTTCAAATTTTTCTTGTCACTAATGGTTAGAAAGCAGTCCATCAAGCGGAAGACTCCTGAAAACTAATGATCACAGGAATGTGTCAAAGTCAAGAGGCAATAAAGAATCAAGAGCAGGGAAAGCTGTCAAACAGAGGCACAGTTCAGTCTTACATGCACATCTCCATCCACTAGCCAACATCTGTCAAAAGCAAACAACAAAACAATATCTGTAAAAAGAAGCTGCCTCAAGACATCACATTTAAGCAAGAAAATTTATGCTTACGGCCTCAAGGTATAGAAAAAACATATGAAAATAATTTTTACAAAGTTCAAATTGTTGAAGAAAAAATGCTGCAACATAATGCTTGGTAGCACAAACTAGTAATCTACTCAAGAGACCTTAACTACCATGACTGCAGACCAACCAAACAACAAAAGAAAAAGTCATAAAGCAGTGAGAGAATGAACTTCCAAAGAAGCTAGAGTCATATGACAGAAAGCCTGAGGAGAAGGTGCATAGTCAAGATAGTTAAAGGAACCAAAAATATGTGCAAATTTGCAAACAAAAACCAAGTACACATAATTTTTATATCAAATATACATTGATATAAAAATTAAAAATCTGATTACCGGGATAAATAAAAGATAGAAACTTGGGAATCTAAGGCTTCCCTCCTAGCATAACTAGTAGGTAATGTTAGGACATCTTCTAATGGCTAGATAGATCAAAATCATTAAAATATTTTCCTGATATTAAAGGGTTAAAAGAAAATGTTTCCACTTATCATGACCTATCTCACACTCCTTGCTTTTTGTCATCTAGTCTTCTATTCATCACATAAATTCATGACAAAAGAGATTTTTGGTCCATCTACTTACAATATTTAAAAGAACAGCAAAAATACATCCTAAATTCTTGAATTGAAATATATCATCCCCAGCTTCATCTGGTGGTCTGATATTACACTGAAAGTCAATTGATCAAGATTTCCTCCCTCAATCATTCCAGGTAATTTCCTAAATTTGATACCAAGGCATACAGAATTCTTATAAAGAACATCTGTGCATGAGTCATGGAAACATCATGATGCCAAACTTCATATGAGAAACTAAGCATGAAAGCGTAGTTATACAACTTATACTATGTATTTACATCAGTTAAATGCATGTTAAATTTACATTATTGATAACTACAATGATGTGAAAGGAGGCAATTAAAATATGTACAACTGGTACACTTGTGGTTAAGGGACACCGAGCTCACAACAATCTACACCTACTAATTATAATATGGGATGGTTCACGATGAGCTAGTTAAGTTAAAGAAAACTTGCAGCAAAGACTTGGGCATTCCAATGTAAACAAATTACCTCTGTTATTGTATCTGTGTGTGAGCTTGGGGGGAGGACGGGCGAGAACCGTACTCAGCGTTAAAAACTAATCCACAATTGATATTTGGTACTGAAAATGTTTGTGACCATTAATTGTAAATAATTAAAGTTTTCCTAGCCGACATGATGCAGAGCAAACAACATCATATGCAACCAAATATTATGGGCCAATATAGCAACATTGGAATCATTAAACATATGGACCCAACACAACAAATTTAGCAATAAAATATAACAATAGTATTAGACATGAAAATTATCCCACAACTCATTGCAACCACAAAAATGAACACAAGATTTCCTAACATAGTATAGCATTTTTTTTATTGGAAACAAAGAAAAATAGTATAGCGATTAATAAAGAATAATAAGATACACAAATCTAGTGAGTGGAATAATTGCCATAGATACTACAAGAATTCTTCATAATTTTTCTACATGATAATAAGACCACAAAGACTATCCATGAATAAAGGGCGTACCCAGTGCATGAAACTCCCGCTTAAGCGGGGTCTAGGGAAGGATTGATGTACGGAAGTGGAGAAGCTGTTTCCGCGACTCGAACTCGTGACCTCTAGGTCACCAAGGGATAGCTTTACCACTACGCCAGGCCGCCCTTCAAAGACTATCCATGAATGAATACCAATTTAAAGGGCACACCTTTTCCATTTTTTAAAACGTCTATTATAAAACCTATAATTTTTTTTTTCTAGTCTATTTTGTTTGACCGAATAGGGCAAGTGATTGGGACTTATAAAGCAATTGCCACTCATTACAAACCATAAACAATTTTAAAAAAAACACTAGGATAAATTGAAGATGAAAACAATGACCATATCACATCAGCTTATCCAAACGCAGCTCTATCACAGACAGCCACCAGTCAAAAGCATCTGTCTTGCGGTTGTGGAAAAACCATATAAACTGAAACTAATCAGATATGGAACCAGCACCAGAAATTTGATATAAATATCCCACATGAAACTCATAAATTGGGGAAGGGAGAAAAATGAATGAAAACTTGCCAATGGCCATTTATCTATCTATTCTATTATATAAAGCATACACCTCATTATTTGCTGTGAATGATGTCACGCTTTTTTGTCATATCCAATAAATGATAATAAGACCACAAAGACTATCTATGAATGACTACCAATTTAAGGGGCACACCACTTCCATTTTTGAAAACATCTATTATAAAACATATACATTTTTTTTTCTCTTCTATTTTGTTTGATTAGAAAAGTTAGAGCGATTGCCACTCATTACAAACCATGAACAAATTTTTTTTAAAAAAATATTAGGATAAATTGAAGATGAAAACAATGACCATATCACATCAGCTTATCCAAACACAGCTCTATCACAGACAGCCACCAGTCAAAAGCATCTGTCTTGCGGTTCAGGAAAAACCATAAAAACTGAAACTAATCGAATATGGAACCAGCACCAGAAATTTGATATAACTATTCCACAAGAAATTCATAAATTGGGGAATGGGGGAAAAACTGAATGAAAACTTGCCAATGGCCATTTATCTATCTATTTATCCATTATATAAAATGTACACCTGTGAAAGCTGTCACGCTTTTTTGTCATATCCTATAGGTTTTTCCCATTTATCAAACTACTCAAAATTGCTAATTGTTTTCTTTATTCATCAAACTGTCCCCCAATCATGAAATTATCCAAAAATTTAAATGTTAAATTGCAATCCTATCATTTTTGCACCCACCACTTACCCAGATTGCAAAAACAAAAACATAAAACAAAAAATCCTCTTCTACAGCAAACAGATGAATAAATAAAAAATAAAAAAAGAGAGAGAAGCAAATTCACAAATACACACACACACACACACACATATATATATTCCCATTTGGTATATGAATGAAGCATTAATTAGTTAAAAATTAAAGAGTTTCATACATTCCAATCTGGAAAAAAAAAATACTATTATCAACAGTTGGGAGGATATCTAATCCATACCATCAAAAACTTAACTATTAGTTTCTATAAAAACCGAAATTTCAAACCCGACGGCATGAAAAATAAATAAATGAAATAAACGATTAATCGAAAAATATTATTTTCTAAAAAAGCTCCAAAACATCATTGAAATAACATCAAACACTTAGACATCGTTTGTGAGCAGGTTAATTTAGTAATTTTTTTTACTATTTAGCTAAAATATAAGTTAAAAAAAAATTAAAGTATGTTTGGAATGATTTTTTTTTTACTTTCTACAAAAAAAAAAAAAAAAAAAAGAAGAAAAGAGAATATTTAATTTTTTACAAAAAAAAATAAGAAGAAAAGAGAATCTTTAATTTTTTTTTTTTAATAAATTATTGACTTTTTAACAATTTTTAATAATTTTTTTACTTTTTAACTAAAACTACCTGCCAAACGAGGCCTAAGCAAAATGAAAAAAGAAAACAACATTTCCACCATTAATCAGAACAACATTGTTTGCGAAGCAACAAGCGAGAGCGAACCTGTTTCTGAGCTCAAATGCGAAACGCCAACAAATCTTGGAAATGCCGGTAATCTTTCAGATCCAAAACCTTTCGACAACACAAACGAGATAACATCAATAAACAACAATCCACACCAAAAAAAAGTGAAAAAGCTCGAAGACGACGGCAATGGAGAGAGAGATGTCACCTGAATGGAAGGCGAAACAAAAACCCTAGAAAATGCAGAAATGTAGATAGATACAGAAGGTGTATGTATGTATGTATGTATGTATGTATGTATAGAGAGATAGGTATTGAATTGAGTGCGAAAAACGAGAGGAGAAAAATAGAGAAGAGAAGGAAGGAGGGGTGTATATATACATAGAGAGAGAGAGAGAGAGAGAGAGAGAGAGAGGTGTTTTGGTGCAAGAATGGCAAAACAGTTGTTAGAATCCGCAACCAGAAGGTGTATGTATGTATGTATAGAGAGATAGGTATTGAATTGAGTGCGAAAAACGAGAGGAGAAAAATAGAGAAGAGAAGGAAGGAGGGGTGTATATATACATAGAGAGAGAGAGAGAGAGAGAGAGAGAGAGAGGTGTTTTGGTGCAAGAATGGCAAAACAGTTGTTAGAATCCGCAACCTGCCTTTGAAATCTCCCCATAATTATTTCCCCCACGCTTTTTCAACGCGCGTGTAAAACTCCTACCTCAGCATTTTATGTCCTTCTCTATTCATCATATCTTTATTTTTGGAGTTGAGATTCTCTCATTGTGCTTTCTCTTTTCCTCCCTACTTATAATGGTGGAGATATATTTTGAGTTGATCATATAGTCTAGATTTGGGTGAGAAAAACAAATTTGAATTTGTTTTATTATTTTTTTATTTTTAAATAGTCAAATATGAATCATTAGATCAACTCAAAGTGCATTTGTACCATTGCAAGTAGGGATGCAAGGAGAGAGCTCAAGAAGAAGATCTCAACTCTTATTTTTGGGTCTCGTTAGCCTATGTCCTTAAAGTATTCGTATCAGTTTTTTCAAATCTTTAGTTAAATTAGAATTTAAAATTTTTTTGCTATTTTAGTTAGTAATTTTTTTAGTACCCACTCTATTATACTTTCTATTCTAACTCAATCTTCTCTATTTTAACTCAATTCTATTAAAATATTATTTTCTTATTGTATTTGTTATTTTTTCTTTTTTTCTTATTAAATTGATGAGTTGTCTACCAACAATTCTTAAAAAAAAATAAATAAATTTGCCGTTGATCGGTTGACTGGCCGGATTTCCTGGCGGACATCCGATAATACCTAATTCACTTGTTGTAGCAATGAACAGTGGATCGCTTCATCAGGGAAGGAATTGTAGCGCTGGTAAAATGACAAACGGGTGTAGCGAAACTGATGGATCACATTTTACAACTTTTGCTCTCTACAATGGCTTCAAAGCCATTGTAAAGAGGTTAATGCTAAAATTAAGTGAAAAAAAATTCAAAAATAAAGAAAAAAATGTGTAAAATTAAATGAAATATAAATATATTTTGTTCACATTTTACATTCATATTCTATTTCATTTTTCAAATCATTTTTTAAATTTCCAAACCAAATACAACATTTGCGTTTATGTTAAGAAAATAATAAATGATATTTAACTTCCTCCACTTATCTGAAAAATGAAAATATATAAGAGAAATTAATTATAATATTTTTGAAGAGTTAATTTTTTTTCATATTGACACAAGTATCCCTATTTTCATAAGATAAAATTTCTTTAACTATTATTGCATATTATAAATAAAAAAATAAATATCTTTTTTTTTTTAAGGGTTCTAATATGGTGAAAATCCCACCAACATTTATGAAGGTACTGTTAGAAAAATTTTAATTACAAGATATTTTTATTTAATTTATTTTGAATTTATTTTAAAAAATTAAAAATTAGTTTGACAAAAATAAATATAAATAAATATTTGAATTTTTAAATATTATTTTATGTTTCAAAAAAAAATCATATGAAAATAATGTTTAATTTTTTTTAGAAACATATATTCAAAAAACTCAATCAATATATATACTAGTGTATGTCCGTGCCTAAAGGCATGGTGTAAATAATATTGGGATCAAAATGTAATTGTAACCTATCATGTTGAAATTTGTGGAGTCTATGTCATTTTTTGATAAAGACACTGAAAAAACATAATGAAATACTTTTCTTCTTAAATAACTTGTAATAATTTTGCTTGTATTACACGCTGTACAAAATTCAAATAAAATAACAAATTCCCTAGCCTTAATGCAAATTAAGAAACAAACATATAAAATTTATAATATTCACTAATATTGCAAATCAAAATATAAGAGGAAGTGAAAAAAAAAATTATGAATATTAAACAAAACACATAAATCAAAACTATTGTATACTTGTTAACGTTCTATAATAAAAAGAAAAAAATTGCTAAACATCCCATAAAGTACACCAACAAGTGCTTTGCAATCTCAACAAATTAAATTGAAAATTAAACATCAAACAATGTATACTAGCTTGTACTCTACAATTCCAAACAAATCAAATATAAAAATAAATAAATATCAAATAATGCACATCAGCCAGTGCTCTACAATATAAAAAAAAATGAAAATTAAAATGCACACCAGCTAGTGCTACACAAACATTATATTGCCATACACCAAAAGAGTTGGTTAAAACTTTACAGAATATGTTTATGCTTCACAAAAAGTGGGTTAAAGTTTTTCAAAATATGTATGCTTTACAAAAGATGTGTCAATAATATGTCTTCATACATGTGTTTGTAAAAAGTCTTTATATCAACTTGTATGTATCCCCAATGAGGAATATATACAATAATCTGGTAATTTGTGGAAACAAAAAAAAACTATAGATTAGTATATTTGTTGAAAATATACATATCAAAACACTTTGAGATTGAAATTACCTTATTACATCCCCATCGAAGCAAGCTAATTGTATTTATCTTTTTAAGCTCCATAGATTTTTCAATCCAATCTTACAAAAGTCCATATTTCCTATTATTATTAAATTGAAATTTTATAAAAAGTTATATAATCAATAGAAATAAATTAATTAGCAAATAGTTATCTTTTAATAAAATGTTATTCAATCTATATGAAACGCTACAACAAAACTTCAGGATAAACAATATTTGTAGTAGAATTTGAGCTATCTTTAGGGAGGATAATACTTATATAATCAAAAGATGTACATCTGGACGATGCCACATATAATTGCCCATGGCTAATCACTGGTATAGACAAATTAACACCAACAAATTTCACAGATTGTTCTTGAGATTTATTAATAGTCATGGCATATGCCAATCGAATTGGAAATTGACGTCCTGTCATTTGGAAAGACATTTCTGAAGAAGATTGTGTCAAAGATATCCTTGGTATGAATGTCAAATTGCCAAATTTTTCTCCAGTTAAAATTTGAGCTTCAATTATGCGAGTGTCACACCTAGTAATTATCAATCTTGTACCATTACATAGTCTATCGTTCGGTGCAATATTTCTTAACAATATTATAGGACAACCCAGTTTCAACTCGAACTTAAAAGTTGGTAGGCCTGAGGATCCAAATGAATTTAAATATTCATTAGGATATCTATTTGTAATGGTAAGATCAATTTCATTATCTTCAGACATTTTATCTATTGCAAAATGAGTATACAATTTCCCTAAAAAGATATTCAACATGGTAGTATTGATGTCATTAACATCATCATTACGCACAGATAGGATTGTAGGTTCAGTTAAAAACGTTGGGATCGACGTCTCTACCATATTCAACTGTGGATAAACTGTAAAGAGTAATTCATTCAAATCTTGACATTTGTGTATTGTTGATGGAATGTTGATGATTTCTTGAGGATTGGTCCCAATCTAAAATAAGTGAAATCAATATATTAAAACATATATATATATATATATATATATAAGTGTAAACAATTCATTAATTTAAAATAATCTATCTAATAAATAAAAAGGTTAAAGTGGTATTACCTCCATAAATTTTTTTTTGCAAAATTAGCACTTTCATGGTCTTCATGATTCAAGCGCATATTCAAATCCAAAGTTAAAATCTGTATATACTTCCATAGAACAAAGTGTCTTAATGATGCATTCACAATTTACTCACGAATTCCTTTGAATATAACTGGTAAAATTTGTTGAAAATCTCCACTAAGAACAACAGCAATACCCCTAAATGGTTTTTCACTATTGCAAATATCCCTTGATATACGATCAACTGCTTCCACAAAATATCTATGTTGCATAGGAACTTCATCACAAATTATGAGTTTTGTTTCTATAAACAACTTAGCTTGTAATGATTGCTTGCTAAACCCACAAAGTGAATTTTCTAAGACATCTAATAGAATGAAAAATGTTGAATGTGCAGTGCGACCTCCTACCAATAACAATGATGCAATTCCAGATGAAGCCACAGTAACAATGATATGTCCAATGCTGCGATATTTTAATGCAATCGTATTGTATATAAATGTTTTCCCTGTTTCAACACCCTCATTTAGAAAAAAAACAGTTCCTTTATTTTGAAAAATTGAAGAAGTGATTTTATTATAAGCATTTCGCTGTCCATTGTTGAGACAATCAATAGTAATTTGTGGATTTGCCTATTGTGCATCACTCTGCAGTTGTTGATGTTCGAATATCAATCGATTACCAACTACTGCACTCCAATTTGCAGTAGGTTGGGACATACGTAGGAAGTCAATCAAACTTTTGCCTGATTCATAAAGCATTTGATTCAAAAGATAGAGACCATAATCTTTAATTTGAGCCTCAGTTGGATTAGAAATGACAAAAATGTGCGAATCTTATGTGCAAGACCATCACATATATGCGTTGAGAATTGATTCCATAATGTACATGGATTTAGTGCAGAGCAATCGGTGAGAATAATACTAAACAATCTCCTCAATTGGTATCCAGTTTTCATAACTACAGCCTCTTTTTAGCATTGTATCCATTATTCATCATCTTCTAAAAGCCCTCTTGCAACACATGCTAATTTAAATATATCATGTACAACATTATCGATCGTGCGTAAGGATTGAAATGAATTTGGTCCCTTGACAACAGTTAGTAACAAACGCAGAAAAAATCTTTCACCACAATTAGGGCTAACAAAGTGCATTCTACCAATTGCATATCCATTTTCTCTTGATTTCCATCTCTTTTCCGACTTGAGCCAAACAAAATATTGTGAAAATTCTTGATAAGTGAATAGACATTCATCTTCACTGGCAGCACAATATACAAAGAAGCCAATAAGAGTTGACATTTGTTGACCAACTCTAGATTGAATCTTTTCCAATGACTCTTCTAGGTTAAAACTATGAAATGCATTCC